GAAGTAATTTGGACTTTTTAGAAAGGCCATTGTACCGCTTATTTCTAAGGGGCCGTTTGATCGGTTGCCAAGGTTTGAAGTCTCTTTCTGTAGAGGAGGTGTTTTTATTCTAATCGCCCTGGAAAGGAGCGAAGTTAAAAGTCAGTGGGGTGGAGATACGTCAGAGGATGTTAAAGGCCACCATATGGTATACCAAGAGAACCAAAGGATGTGAATGTGGTCTTCCAGGCTCTCTAGGGGTACAGCCCGATGCTGACGACATCGACCTGGCGTTTGCTACAGGTCGATGGATCGCAGGTGGCTGACACAAGAGCCAGAAAATTTCTCTTGCTCCTACAGCTGCATGAGTGTCAAGCAAAGGCCATAGAGGCCTTCGAATTCAGTCCGTATTACGATCTGGGGAGGACAACTTATAAAGTAACTGTTCTGGATTAGTGATTCACGTCAAGACAATATTACCTTCAACTTGCATCATGTAGCTAGACGTAACAAGAATATGCTACAAGTTCTTGTATACTAAAAATTCTTGAACATTCAATTGTTTATATATTAACAATTCTGGGTAATTCCTAATCAGCTTTGTTTGCTTAAAATGTATTAAACATTTAATATAAATAGTTGTCGCAAAAAATATTAAGAAAAGAAATACATATGCAGAAGTTGAAAAATATGATAAAGTAGGGACGCATGATTATTCCTCAAATTTCAATTTCCTAATGTTCAAAACATCGAAATTCTTATCATCGAAACATCATTTCGCATAATTTTCAGTTTTCGAAATTTCATTCAACATAATTTTTAATTTATCGATTTATTCTTTATCCTATTGTCATAATGTTAATTACTCGAATTATCTAGTGACATAAAACGCATTTACTCGAATTCTCTTTAAATCTACATACGAAATGTCATATTTCAGAAATTTTATTTGTCATAATTTTCATTTATTCGAATAACCATTTAACATAAAATTTATTTGTCCGAAATTGCATTTGACATAATTTTCAAACATCCGAATTACTTTTTAACCTATAATGCAAGTCACAGAAAGTTTATTTTGTCCTAAAAATAACAATAGAAATGAGAAAAATATTTGCAAATTTCATTGTTATTTTTAGGACAAATAAATTTTCTGTGACTTGCATTATAGGTTAAAAAGTAATTCGGATGTTTGAAAATTATGTCAAATGGAATTTCGGACAAATAAATTTTATGTTAAATGGTTATTCGAATAAATGAAAATTATGACAAATAAAATTTCTATAAATTAAAATTTCTGAAATATAACATTTCGTAGATTTAAAGGTTATGTCTCATGAGAATTCGATTAAATGCGTTTTATGTCACTTGATAATTCGAGTAATGAACATTATGACAAATAAAATTTCGATAAATGAAATGTCTTAAGTATGACATTTCGAAGATTTGAAGGTTATGTCACATGAGAATTCGAGTAAATGCGCTTTATGTCACTTAATAATTCGAGTAAATGAACATTTTGACAAATAAAATTTTGCTAAATAAAAGTTATGTAATATAATATTTCGAAGGTTCGAAAATTATGTCAAATGGCAATTCGGAGGATTAATAATTATGACAAATAGTAATTCGGAAAAACAAAATGTATGTCAAAAAAATTTTCGACATATTAAAAATTATATTAAAAAACAATTCGACTATTTAAATAATAGGATAAAGAATAAATCGATAAATTAAAAATTATGTTGAATGAAATTTCGAAAACTGAAAATTATGCGAAATGATATTTCGATGATAAGAATTTCGATGTTTTGAACATTAGAAAATTGAAATTTGAGGAATAATCATGCGCCCCGATAAAGTAGTTGCCGACATTTTTTAGAAGAGTCTAATATTTCGTATAATGACTTTAAATATCAGTACAATTATACCAAGTATTACCGAGAATCTTGTTTAAAACGAATACAAGATCAAAATTTGAATTGAAAGTCGAGATAAATTCTTGTACTTGACGTTTTCTCGCTTGAATGCGTCTCTATGCCGGATCGTGATAGTAAGAATATTCCACCAATTGAAATTTGCAAGTTGGTGGAGTGCATGGACAAAGAAACTTTTTCTGTTGCTTGGGTGAGTTGAAAACTTACTAGTTACAGTGTGAGGGTCTCAAAGGACAGCCAGAAAGGACAGGAATTAATAGAATATCTAATTGGAACAGAGTTGGATATTCTTAATACTGGCTCGACTTTGCCTTATAGCAATGTCATTAATAGGATGTAATTGACAATACTCTTATGCTCTAAGATCATTGTAAACAAGTCTCCCGGTTTCTCCTATTCTTTTACAGAGAACGATAGAGGATTCTTTGGGTCTCTACGGAGACAGCCTTGCTCAAAATTTCTTTTAAAAATAAATGGGGCTTTTAGTCAGTCCTCTCCAGAGTCCATAAAAAGAGATATGAGATATGATAGGTTTTAATATTCCTACAGTAGTTTTTGATTGGACTTAACATATGTTAAGAAACGGGAACATTTTATCAACAAAAGGGAACTCAGCCCTGGAAGGAGCAGTTAACTTTAGATGACCCTGAGGAACGAGTTCTTTCATTTTTGCATTGGTCCGCAGAATTGGATAAACTACTAAAACTTTTAACTAATGCAGGATATGGTGCAATTTACTATGCAGACGATTTTTTATTAATTGTTCGTGGTCCAACCTGGTTGTAATACTCAAGGTGGCACAAACGGCACTCAACCAGAAGGTTAGTTTTAGGAACAATCCTAGTTAATAAGTTTTTTTGGATATAGCATTTATAGAATAAGTGCAAGAAACTTATAGCAACTTACAGAACGTAGGTAGGTAGCAGCTGGGGTCTTAAACTGGATACTCTGTTTTGGATGAAAATTTGTTCAGGGAAAGTTCCCGAACTGTACCTGAACGGTGGATATAAGAAAAAGTTGAGGTCTAATCCTGCATTACACTAAAAAAATTTCCGAACTTTTCAAAAATCTGCCATGAACTTCAAGAATTTCTCCTGTTATACACGTCAGACTCCTGAGACGTTCGGGAATTTCTTTAGTGTAATGCAGGATTAGACATCAACTTTTTCTCATTTCCACCGTTCAGGTACAATCGGGAACTTTCCCTGGACAAATTTTTTCTGTGTGGGGTCTAAGTTCTATTACAATCCGAAATCATGGCGATTGTAATCACATCACAGATGATCGGTGATTGCCATAAGGCACTCAATAGACTAGCTTGAATTAACCATATTATTCTTCTGTGGGTTCCTGGTTATATTGGATTTATTGGTAATGATATAATGAATTAACTAGCCAAAGCAGGTGCTAAGAAATAATTTATTGGTTCTGAGCCTTAAATTAGTGTTTTTGACAGATACTTGGCCATGCAATTCAAACAGTGTCAAACAACAGAGCACCAGAAAATATGTCAGTCGATTAGTGGTTCTGGGCAAGCTAAAATACTCATGGGAACCAACATTAATTCTAGAAGAAAAGCGGAATTCCCTAAACTTAAGGCTATGTCCAAGTTGCGAACTGTAAACAAACCAAAAGGTTACTAAACCAGCACTAAAATTGCAATTTTTCGACAGCCAATTCTCACACAAAAAATAACATTTTTACACTTTCTTTACGAAAATGGAAAATTAGAGTATCAAAGTTTCCAATAAAATTGTTTTTGACTATAAGCAATAAAAAGCAATTAGTAAAATAACTAATTAAAATGACCTGTAAAAGAGTATTTTTGACGCGTCGCGAAAAATAAACTGTTTGAGTATATCAACCGCACGGATGATGAAGAAGTTACATGTCAGCGATTGGACCTTCAACATGTGGAAGGGTAAATTTTTCCCTTTCCTCCTTGAAATTACAAGAGAAAGGGTAAAAACTTCGGTCTATAATGAAGCATTTTTTCGCTGTTCGCATTTGCGTAAATCAATATAAATTCACATTTTCTTTATGGAAATGGCGAACTAAAGTATCGAATTTGGTTACTACACCTTGCATAGCTGAAAAAATGAGAAAATAACTAAGTTTCAGTCGAAAACAAAATGTGCATTTTCGCATGGTGCTGTCAATGCATTCTTAGTTTTGGTTTTGAATGATACTCAGTGGTTTTCTCATTTTTTCAGCTATGCAAGGTGTAGTAACCAAATTCGATACTTTAGTTCGCCATTTCCATAAAGAAAATGTGAATTTATATTGATTTACGCAAATGCCAACAGCGAAAAAATGCTTCATTATAGACCGAATAGTGAAGCATTTTTTCGCGGTTCCCATTTGCGTAAATAAATATAAATTCACATTTTCTTTATGGAAATGGTGAACTAAAGTATCGAATTTAGTTACTAAACTTTGAATAACTGAAAAAATGAGAAAACCACTGAGTTTCAGTCAAAAACCAAATGTGCCTTTTTGCATGATGATATTGCGACCTTGGTATGGTCTGCGCACGCGCAGCGAGCAACAGAGTTCACGTCGCGAAAAATTAAACTGTTTGATTATATCAACCGCACGGACGATGAAGAAGTTTTTACCCTTTCTCTTGTAATTTCAAGGAGGAAAGGGAAAAATTTCCCTTTCCACATGTTGAAGGTCCAATCGCTGACATAAGACTTCTTCATCATCCGTGCGGTTGATATACTCAAACAGTTTATTTTTCGCGACGCGTCAAAAATGCTGTTTTACAGGTCATTTTAACTAGTTATTTTACTAATTGCTTTTTATTGCTCATAGCCAAACATGATATTTTTGGACATTTTGAAACTCTAATTTTCCATTTTTGTAGAGAAAGTGTAAAAATGTTATTTTTTGTGGGAGAATTGGCTGTCGAAAAATTGCAATTTTAGTGCTGGTTTAGTAACCTTTTGGTTTGTTTACATTTCGCAACTTGGACATAGCCTTAATAGGAAATAGGTGGAAATAAAACCTCCTGTCATACCTAATACGTTTCTAACAGCCAGGTCCGACTGTGGAAATTAAATAACATTTTCCCAAGGATACCTTATTGAAAATTGTCCACCATTGTTGTCATTCATACGATCAGAATTGTCAGTATTAGATTCGTGATTTACATTTCCGCCATTACAGCCATCGTTTAAATTATTATCATTCTCTCCATTAATTAACTGCTCACGTGTGTTTGCGTTGCAAATGAAGTCACCATCTTCCGGAACAATTTCAGGTTTTGAACTAATTGACGAATCTTGTTCCAAGTAGCTTTCTGAAGAATTTCCACTTCTTAAATTTACTGCATCAAGCATTTCTGCTTCAACTGCATGCGAATCACTTGATTCTAAGTCGCTTGTGTTTACTGCTTGCTCACCTAAAAAATAAAAATGCATAAAATTATTTTTGAAAACATACGTATGTCTACCTACAAAAAGCTTACTTTTTTAAAGATGTTTAACAATTTTCTTTATTATTTTTACAAATTAATATGCAATGTCCATATTTCTAAACTACCTTATATATATATAAAAACAAAAAATCACTTAACAATTTGAGTCAAGCGAATAAAAAAATCATTCGGAAACATTTTTATAAATTCTCTATGAAAAAAAGAAATCACATATGTTTAGAATATGTTATTGGATGAAAATTTTGGAAGTTATATTTTTATAAAAAGTAACATACATAATTTACATATCAATTTCATAACGTAACTTAAGAAAATTATAATAACTTACTTTCATTTCGTGCTTTCTTTTAAGATTCACGAGAACTTTTTTACTGCAAATGTGCCAAAATAATATGTCAAACATTTTTGTCCGTTAGAAGTCCGTTGGGCGTATTCAAAACTGTACAGGTTGACACATGTACACGAATGATAAATACCTGGCATGCTTTGTAATATTAATACTTATTTAACATTTTTTCGTAACTATTTTGTATATGGGGCAAAAAATGAATTTTTTCTAACCTCTGCTAAAATGTTACTATTATTAGTAGAAGTGTAAATATAAATTTTTTTTAATTTGATGTAAAAATCAGAGTGGGACCATGAAAATTTTTGAAGAAAATAATAATTTATCATTATTTTTTATAGAAAATGATTTATAATTAATTTCTTCAAAAATGTCCATTGTCCCACTCTAATTTTGACATGGCTCATAGGAAAAAAGGTAAGCTTTGGATTGGGATCGATTAGAAAAAAATAAAAAAACACCGATCTTGAGATATATTGAAATTAAGAATTTGACCTTGAATTTCAAGGTAAAAAAAAAAAAAAAAAAAAAAAAAACTTTCTTTTCATCACCAGCTCATAGATCATGAAAAACCCTTTCAAAATCACTATTCGTATTTTTAATTTGATTAATTTTACTTATCAATATATTAAATCGAAAAAATGATATTTTCAAGAAAGTTAAAATTTTGAAACTCCATAACTCAAAAAATATTTTATCAAATTCAAAAATAATTTATATTGACACTTCTACTAATAATAGTACTAACATTTTAGCAAAGTTTAGAGAAATTTCATTTTTTGACCTTTGCAGTTGAGGAATTTTGCCCCACATATATTTTTTTATTTCAATAATTAATAAAATTAAATGTTTTATATTTTAATAATACGTCATTCGTCCTCTTCCTAAGGGGAGAAACCACATTAGGAGGTTAAAAATTTGGTTTTTATTGCGTAAATTGTTAGCTTATCAGTCAAAGAGTATGTTGTTGTTAAAATTTGATTTTGAAATTTTTCTCAAAATGACATTTTTTATTTCCGGGACGTCTAACTTTATAAATAATTTCCTGATCGTTATGAAATTTAGTAAGTTTATTCATTATAAAATTACGAAATACACGAACCAACATTTGAAAGAATATCATGATTTTAAAGAAGTTTTTATTATATAATTTGAAAAAAATGGTGAAAATTGAAATTAATTTTTCGAATACCTTCAAAATCTTTTACTTTAATAATTTTCACCTGCATTGAGGTTCATATTCTTAGAAAATTAGTAAAAAGTATAAATTTTTTTTATTTTTAGTTAAAAATTAAAAGTGCAAGACGTCCGGAAAATTAAGAAAACACCATTGCATAGATATTAATAATATTGCATTAAGGGGGATTACTCATGAGAAAAAAATTTTTCTTTGAATTTTTGATGTTGCTTTTTTAAAATCCTTAATATCTCTAGAATAAAGGTTTTAAATTTTATGACGAAATTTAGCTCCTATAAAAAGTTATAGTACATCACACTACCGTGAGAGTGGCTCCATGCGCATGGCCCAAAAATATACTAATCTTTAAATTATGATATTCCTGAAAAAAATAATGTAAGAAACTTGAGAAATCTACCGTTTTGAAAGCTTATAATATTCTATGTTAAATAATATACAATTCGAAATTTTAAGAAATTACACAAAGATTTTAACAATCGACAAATTTGAAAAAGAAAATTAAAAAATTAAATGTTTTTTGACAATTTTTTAAACTTTGGCATATTTTTTAAAAATTGCAGACAAAATTTAAAACTTATATAGGACGGGTTCCACGTCAAGTGACCCAGGTCAAAAATTTACATGGAATATTTGAAAAATTTGTAGTTTCTTTAAAACAAAACGAAAATACGTTTTCTATTTTGGGTTTTGCTGCTGTTTTTTAACACTTTCTAATAGTGTGAACAAATGTAGAGAAAAAAAATTGTTTGACCTTGAAAAATTAAATTAAAAAATAAAATTTCATTTTTTTATCAAATGGGCAGTTTGTATTTTTTTAAAAAAAATTTTATCATAAAGGTGAGGTTTTTTCCTAAAAAAAATGTATAGGTCAAAACGTGGGACAAGAACTTTTAACTAGTCAAATTAAGCATTTACTTCTGCCGTGCACCGTCCCACAGTGGAATTTTTTTTACAATTTACTATTAAAAAATGTCTATAGCTTACAATTTTTAACCGATTTGAGTGTTCTTTGTCTTAAGTTAAAGGGGAATAAATTCTTAAGACATCCTTCGAGGCAGATTTTAGAGATTTTAATTATTTATAATTTTTTTTAAATCAAAGTTAACAAATTAATACACTTTTTTAAAAAAAGGACGTTTATTTTCTTATTTCGTTGATGCACATGATCTAAGTCAATTTAAATTCATCCAATATGACCACCAGATAATTAATAAAGCATAAAATAATTTATTTCAATTGTTATAAACAATATATAGCCCAACAACGAGCAGGGGCGGTGGATTGCAGAAGTAAATGTTTATTTTGACCAGTTAAAAGTTCTTGTCCCACGTTTTGACCTATACATTTTTTTTAGGAAAAAACGTCACCTTTATGATAAAAATTTTTTTAAAAAATAAAAACTGTCCATTTGATGAAAAAATGAAATTTTATTTTTTAATTTAATTTTTCAAGGTCTAACATTTTTTTTCTCTACATTTGTTTACACCATTAGAGAGTGTTGAAAAACAGCAGAAAAACCCAAAATAGAAAACGTATTTTCGTTTTGTTTTAAAGAAACTACAAATTTTTCAAATATTCCATGTTAGACCAAAAATTTAAACTTTGACCCCCTCCAGTTTTAATATTTGTTTAAATAAATTAATAATATTTGGTATTTTTAATTGTATCTAATAGGACTACTGTTTCTGCACAATTTTAACCCGATCCCAAACATTTAAAATTTTGACCTGGGTCACTTAACGTGGAACCCGTCATAGATGTGATCCTTTAAGTCTTATCTTTAATTTAAGACCAAAAACGTTAAAAAATCTTATTCGGTTCGCGAGATATCATTATAAATATCAGTTCATATTTTTGGACAAATACATTTTGAATTACTGAATTTTGTATGGTTTTTGACAATAAAAAGGCTTATCAGGATGCCTATAACTTACTTTATTGACCTAGGATAGCAAATTAAAATTTGGTAAGCTCTTATAAAAACCAATTAACAATAAATCTGAAAAAATCGTACTTAAACTTTAACTGCGTTTTTCTCAAAACGCTGTTTTTTAAATCGGTTGCAGGGATTCTGAGTAAACGGATGGATGTTTCTTTCTAATTTTTTTTTGCATTTTGTTAAAAAATATATTCTTTAGTGGGTATACCTAAAAAATTTGAAAAAGAAAATTTTTTAATACTTTTTTTAACAAAAAATGTCGAGAAAAATGGTAATTTTTCAATTTTTTTGTTAAAAGTAGTGTCATTTTTTTAAAATTTAATTTTTTAAGGTAATTTTAGGTATAACCACTAGATTAGTATCTCAACTGTAAAAGTTCTTTTGGGTTTTTATTTTAGACCACTGGGAACGGCCCTAGACCTGCAACCGCAGAACGCCTCAAAATAAAAGCATCGATTTTGACGCCCTCTACAGCCTAACATAATATAAAAAAAAAATTTTTTTATTGTTTTTATGTATTATGCATAAAGGCTTTTTAACTTTTATAATAAAATAAGCGAGAAAAAAAATGTTAAATTTTGCCATATTTTGCACACTTCTCAGGAGGGATCCCCCTTAAGAAGTAAAATAATAATTGTTTATAGATTTGAAAATGAATAATCATAAATTTTTACATTCATTTTAAAACTTTATATTTTATACTTACCTATTTAAATTTTTTACTTTTATGAAAATTGAGTAGAGAATGGAACTCTTAAAATTAAGAAGTTATAATTAACAAGAAAAAGAAAATATATTTTTAAAATGAACAGCAGACCAGCTTTATAATCATGCCAAAAAACAAATACCTAATTGTTAACTAATTAGAAAGAATAGGAAAACAACAAACTTCGTCAGCAGTCACAAATAGCACAGGACCACAACATTTTTTTAAAGGAAGTATTGACCGGACTATGTTTTTTATATGTTTTTTGTGTCGCTGAATTCGAATCCGAACTGACTGTAAACAAGATTTAAATAAAAATAAGCAGAAGATTCTATTAAAAAACAACTTTAACGCACTTGAAAAATATTATATAATGTTAAACAATCAAAGAAACTCGTAAATATTCAAAATTACAGATGGCGGATCCAATATAACGTCGATTTTTTTTAAATTCACCCAATTCGCCTGAAACTTTTTACTCGGGGGTTTTTGGGGTTGCTAAATACGAATTTCACCTTAATTTTCAAAAATTCAAAATGGCGGATCCAATATGATCCAATATTGGCTGACCAATTTTTAAAAACATTATTGGATTTACCTAAAACGTTATACTCGGGAGTTTTCAGGGTCGCTAAATACGAATTTTACCTTACTTTTCAAAAATTTAAAATCTGATAAATTTTTTAAAAATACGTCAGCCATATTAGATCCGCCATTTTAAATTTTAAAAAATTAGGGTGAAGTTTGTATTCAGCGACCCCAAAAACCCCTAAGT